TCACGGCCGCCCGTAGCTACGTGCGATAGGCACTAGCGACGGCTTTGGCCAATTCACCAGCAAATCTTCCTCTTTACTCAACAATTCTTACCAGACTGAACATGATGAACTAAATAAAGGTTAAACAACCAGTGAACGCTAGGGATTTGCCGGAAACAAATTGAACTTAACCCGGTATGGAACTAATAATCCTTAACCGAGTTCGACATGAAATTTTCTTACGATTTTCACAAAACTCCTCGAACAATAACTCTGAATTGAACTTACTAACATGATTATGAATTGAGGAGGAAATTAACTTACTGAATGTTCGACCGAAACCGGAAAAATAGGCTTGGTTCCTTGCCTTGCGTGCGTTGTAGAAATAGAAAAGGGGGGCCGTCTCTCCGCCGAAAATGAAGCCGGCCACCGATAGATCATCATACTATGAACCAGCGAACTAGTGATGACCGAGTTAACAAGGCAGATGCGGCCAGCCATAGAAAGACGAAGAGCAATGATTTTAGTTATTGCCTCCCGTCGTACGTTGCTTACTATTGCCGAGGGATTGATGGAAATTTGGGGGAAATTACTTAACTTATGAAGGCTGCTGAAAGTGAGGGATATAATACGCTGAAGTTGTCTTAAGAAAAGGGAAAAAAATTGGTCTAAGGCCCTCTTTTAATACCAAGCCGTGAAAGGATGATGAGTGATGTGTTATGTGGCTTAATGGTAACCTTCCAAATGTTACAATATAAGAAAATATTAGGATGACTAAGCATCCCTAAACTTAGCCACGTTTCATGCCTAATGGGTGGTAGAAAATCCCTTCCTTAAGACTTAAGAATTCTAGGAAAATTTGAACATAAAATTATATCACACGGCCTTAATAAGAATTGTGGGGAAATTGCTTTATATCCTCACGGCTTTGAACCATAAAATGTGATTAATCATTATTAATCACTTAATTAATGTTTAATTATTCAATTAAACATAATACTTAATTACCAAAATTATTCCGAACGTAAACGGTACGTCGAAAATAGATTTTGGTAATCTCGACTGAACATAATTA